AGGCACAGCATCTCCCTTCCTTCTTCTCAGGATGACAGGATATCCTGGGATGAGGGCAGTGTTGGAAGAGTTAAACATTAACCTGGCTGTGCCCTGGGCACTCTCAGCTGGCTAAATGAAAAGTTCTGGAACTCCAGGAGAAATCCTGAGTTGCAGCTCTTTGATTAAGTACAGCCTTCTTTAGAAGCTGAAGCTCCAGCCCCTGAGTGGAGGCTCCTTCCCACCACCCCCTCCCACTGACAGTCCCCCTAAGCAATAAAATATCAACTTAAACATAAAAGGACAGTGGCATTCATCCTCCACAAAGACAGGACCAAATCCTAAAGCCAATTTGATGACAGAAAAAAAAATTAAAAGTAAATACACAGAAAATTGCTTGATCCTTTGTTACATTTCCAGTATATGGAGAACTACACAAACTGCCAGTAGCAGAGTGCTCAGAGTACATAAAGGAGTGTGATTTCACCATTTTGTTAAATATTGGTTTTACGAGATTTTCGTGTCTTGTATTTCTTTGAAAATATTCACGTGTGAGATTGAAAAAAGTGTTTCTTTCAAAAACAGCTCTAGAAACCAACCCAGAAATAGGGGGAGAGGGGTGAAAGAGCAGCAATCACAGGTACAAGAATTGTTTGAATAAAGCAAGTCACCTCCTGCCCACCCATCCTGGCACCTGCTGGGAAGGAATTTTGGAAATGCTTAGGAACAAGCTGGCACTACATTTTAGATATGACTTTTTCATCTCTACATCTACAGGACTTTAAACTGTTTCATGTCTAGCTGGCTTGGTGGGGGGAGCACACACACACAACTGGCTTATAATTTTTTAATTATTTTTATCTTTTTTTTTAATTCTTATTTCTTTTTTGTTTGTTTGTTTGTCTGGGGTTTTATTTCTGAGGACATTCAAAACAAGAGACAGCAACTCCACATCATCTTCTCATTCTCACTTGCCAAAGCCCTCAATCTCTGATCACACCCATTAGAATCTCACTGGAGCCAACAGGACATTTTGTGACAGCTCGACCAGTTGTTTAAGGAAAGAGTGTGTGATGGAGCAAAGCTGAATGGACACATCTGGGACACTTCTGACACTCCTCAGCAGGGCTAATATTGATTTGTTTTCTTTGGCTAGGTAAGTGCTGCCCAAACACATTACACTCCAAAGTGCTACTGAAAAGGCAATACCAAGTCATTTAAAATAGAATTAAGGAATACTATCTAAAATAGCAGGATACAATTCAGTTTCATATTTTTCTTTCATGTTTCACAGGATTTTTACTTCTCGGCAAACAAACCATCAAAAACAAAAAAACAAAATAAAAAACCAAAATCCCCACAACTATAAGACTTTTGGAAAGGACTAAGGACCATTAAAAATGAATGTGTATTTTGTATTTTTGCCTGAGGACATCGTGATGCATATTAAAAACCATGTGTAGGAGACGTCCCCCCATAAAATAATTATATTCTTTAGGTGTAAATACAGCCAAGAACACATGTAGCTGAAAAAAACAGTTCTCCATTTGACAGCCAAAACTTACAGGAATATGAATAAATATTATTATTTTCATTTACTTAGAATGAGAAAATCTTAAACAAAAAATACAGCATCTTTTAAAAGCAAAACTGTGAGTACAATACAAAAACTTCTAGAATACATGGAGAATCTGGTATAAATCAGGTGCAAACACTTTACATTGCTGGCCAGCTCGCTTCTCATGGATTAAAATAAAAAAAAAAAAAAACCAAACAAAATAAAACCACATAAAAGCAGCTGGATTTTGACAAGCAACTGCACAGAGGGAAGTTACACAGCTCTGCATATATATACTTACTGTGTACATGTCTGTGTGTGTACACACAACAATAGAGTGCACTGCCCAAACTGCCTAAGGAATACACGTCACTTATTCATGAATAATCTATATTTTTATACCATATTTTTTCTATAACATACAGAAATAGCAGCATAACATTTGGACTGACATAGCTGTGAGAACAGACATCTACTTTTTAGCTACTCTAAGCAAAGTAGGCTTCAAGTATTGATAAATATGATCATAGACAAGTTACCTTCTCTATTTGAGGAATAGCACCATGGGTTTGAAACTAATTGCAAAAGTAGCGTTGGCTGATGAGGTGGCTCTTATCTTTTCTCAGCAGTGCAAGCACAAGTATTTTTCTGCTGCCTCAATAGTTTTAAAAGCCCAAGGTGCTATTAACTAAGTTGGAATCTGATTAAAATAGGAACTTCAAAATATTCACAACAGCTAATGCAGCTACACACACACACACACACACACACAAAAAGCTAAGGAAATTCTTGTCTCTTTTCTTATCATTAACCACATGTTTTGAACAATAATAATTAAATAAATTGTTCCTTACAGATTCTGCCAGTTGTTTTGCTTCCCATCAGTATCTTTGAAAACAGTTTGTTAAGACAATAGTTATTCTTTATTATGGAACTGTGGGGATGATGCCCTTCTACCTGCCTCAGTCTAAAATGAAATTTGTGGGAAATGTTAAAGTTTAAGGACTATTAGAAAAGGACAGCGTGCCTTAGGAAAAAATAGGGGGAAAAAGTATGGAAAAAATGATCAGCCATTCCAGAGAATTCACGGATACCCACAAGGGCTTTGCTAATAACACGGGTTAATTACTGCTGAAACGCACCAGGCTGGGTCAATAAAGGAGCACAACCATAAACACATTAAAATGAGCACCCAGCACTAAAAGAGGTCCTTCAGTCCACCCCTTTCCTCCCTTTACAAATGAAAGACACTTCTAAAAAATTCTTCAACAATCAGAAGCTGTGCCAAAATATTTTAAAGAGTGAGACTGACACAAACTCTTTGAAGTTCAGCACAGAATCCCCCTGCACACACACAAACACACAGGCATGGGAATCTACACACACACTCCTGTTCATCCCTGCACAGACATAACCCAGACAGACTCGCAGGGGAACTCCACACACCATTCCCACATCACAACATGAGAACCGTTAGAAAAACACAAAATATGTGCACCAACCATCACTGCACTGCAGCATTCACAGGATGGGACACCTGTGTCCACTTCTGAAATGTTACAGCCATTCTACACAACCTTTATTTCCTGTCAGCTGAGTATTCTATCAGCTGCATTCTGAGATGAAACTCCAGGCACATGAACAGCTGAATCTGTTCCACATTTAAACGCTGTTGCACATTTTTAAATGGAGAAAGTAGGGAAACTGCTCAGTGTTCAAATGAATGAAACACAGTGAGCCACAAAAGGCAAAAATACATAGTGTGCAGCATCTTTCTGGAGTTACAAATCTGCTCAATTTTCTATGTTTGGCATTCAGAGACCATGTTTAAATTTATTAAACTACTCCCGCTCTCCCCCCACTCTATTTGGAGTGTTTCAATTGCCTTTCGTTCTTCCAACACCTGTGACAACTGTTAAAACAGTCAGTAAAATTAAGTCCCCTCTATAATCCTTTAGTCAATGTTACATTTTAATCAGAGGTTGAGGGAGATTTCTTGTTATAAATGAACTGATTCATTTAAAATTATTAAACTGACACATATGTCAAAATGAGTAGATAGATTTATTGCATCTGTTAGCTCGTTAATTATTAGTAATTATTAGTGCCATTTTATTGCTGAAAGAGCAAAAATTCAAGACTCCAGCTGGCTTTAAGTTATTGCATTCTTTAACATGCTCTGCCTGAAAATCAAAGCATACCTAGTGATGGTCAGACAGATGTCTCTGCACTCTCAAAATGTTCAGACAATTTTTAGCTCGAATCCTCTCTTCCCTCACCCATAACACAAGAACTGCAGAAACTACAACACCTATTTCCTATGTCCTTATGCTCACATGTGCATATGCAGGTCACAATATATAGTCAAATCACAATTACTATGGATATTATTAATGTGTCAAACTCTGGGTTTATTAATTGAAGCAGATATGTTTCTGAATGTTAGTTCTTTCTCTGTGTCCATTCAATCCCATACATTCAATCTCAAGCCCTGCACTCACACAATATACTGAGAGTGTTTTAAGATGGCTTTTAATTGAGCCAAAGAGGAAGAAAAAAATTAGTTTGAATCTTGCACCAGAGCCAAAAAGACATGTGCCCCAATTTCACTGAAATGCATCTACTCTAAGAGGCTTATCTAAACTAATCCTTCAAATCAGCTGTAAGAAGGTACATTCAAGAAAGCTCCTTTGGGGAGATGGGGAGGGGACAAAGCATCCACAAAAAAACAAACAAAACACCACCAAAAAAGCCCAACCTAACACCCAACTTATCGTCTCTTTATATATTTTATAAAAAATGTGCCACTGTAGTAAAAGCTGTAGAAACTGCATTCTTACATTTCTGAAGCTATCTTACACTATACACAGTGCACTGATCTATAAACCATATCTGAAAGGGGACCCTCCTCTGTTTATTTTCTGTTATTTACCCCGGAACATCACAGTGGGTTTTCCCTGCGCCCCCTTCCCAAACTGTGCTCCCCCAGCCAGGCTGTTTGCTGCTTCCCGGATCATTTCAGCCCCGTGCGATGGCCGCCATTCCCTTTTCCTGCCTGGCTCAATTCCCCCCAGCCCTGCGCTGTGCAGGCAGTGAGGACAGCGAGTGGGCAGCTCCCTCGAGCACACTGTCACCTCCCGAGCAGCCTCTGCGCCGCTGCGGCCGGGGCGATGCGGTCCCTGCTCTTCCTGGCGGTGCAGGGAGAGCGGCTCCGGCAGGCAAAGTTCTCCCAGTCCATGTGTGCCCAGCCTTGGAACAAAGCCTTGGAAATCTTTGATCCATACACGGGATGACTGGAACCATCACTTCCATCAGGGTTATCTCTACATGCTGTCTTTATGTCCTCTGACATCTAATGCATGGTTTTTAAAACAACAGATTAAAGGGGTTGCACTTTTTAAAGGTGCAAGGAACACTCAATTCAACCCTCCCAGTTGAATAAATAACACTCCAATAAATACCCACATCAGAAAAGCATCTCTTTTAAGTCCTGAAAACCAGAAAAGGGACTTTCCACATGGGTGTCCTGTCATCCAGAACTATTAGGGAAGAATTCAACATAATAAAGAAGTCTAGAAGTGTTCTGTCCAAGATCCAGGTGAGATTCTCTCTCTTCTAACATTTCACTGACCTAGGAAGCAAGAATTTGTCACAGAATTAATAGTGGAGAAAAATGAGACCAGTGAAAGATCCTGAGCTCAGGAGAACCTGACTGTGCTGGGGAATCAGAGCTTTCACCCTGGGAAATGAACTGCTCTGAAAGAGTGGGAAGAAACCAGGAACAAAGGCTGAGTTCAAATGCTCCAGAGTCAACAACTCCTTCCTCACCAAAAGGTCTGAGCTCCCCTTAACTCATCTCTAGACATCCATGGAAATGAAACAGCCTGAACTTGAATCCAAGGGAAACAAATTCCAGGGCTTAAGCTGGAGCAAGGTGGGGGGCAATGTGTCACTCCTCTATGACATCGCATGCTCCCAGTAATGTCACATCCTTCCTGTGACATCACACCTACCTTATGACATCACATCCTCCCCATGACACCATATCCCCCCTATGACATCATGTCCTCCCCTGTGACATCACATCTGCCCTGTGACATCACATCCTCCCCAGGACATCGCATCCTTGTTGTGATATCAAGGTTCCTCTATGATGTCACATCCATCATATGACATCACATCTCTCCTGTGACACCATATCATCCCTGTGACGTCACATCCTCCCCTGTGACATCACATTGTCCCTGTGACATCACAGCTCTTCTGTGACATCACATCCTTCCTGTATCTTATATCATCCCTGTGACATCACACCTCCCTGTGACATCCCATGCTCGCCTGTGACATCGCATCCTCCCTGTGACATCACATCCTTCTTGTGACATCACATCTCCCTTGTGACATCACATTCTTTTTGCGACATCAAGGACTCTCTATGACATCACATCCATAATATGACATCACACCTCTCCTACGATCTCCTATCATCCCTGTGACTTCATGTCCTCCGCATGCCATCAAAACTCCTTTATGATGTCACATTCCATCATATGACGTCACATCTCTCATGTGGTCTCATATAATCCCTGTGACATCACATCCTCCCTGTGACATCGTGTCCTCCCCTGTGACATCACATCCTTCCAGTGACATTACATCCTCCCCTATGACTTCACAATCATTATATAACATCACTCCTCCACATGACATCACAGCTCCCCTATGACATCACATCTTTCTTGTGACATCACATCTCTCCTGTGATATCATATCATCCCTGTGATGTCACGTCCTGCCCTGTGACATCATATCATCCCTGTGTCATCAAGGCTTCCCTATGATGTCACATCCATCATATGACATCACACCTCTCCTGAGATATCATATCCTCCCTTTGACATCATGGCCTGCCCTGTGACATCACATCGTCCCCATGACATCACAGTCCCTATGTGACAACACATCCTCCCTGTTACATCACATTCTTCTTGTGACATCACAGTTTGCGTGTGACATCACCCTCTTCCTGTGACATCACACCTGCCCATATGACGTCACAACCATAAGACATCACATCATTCTTATGACGTCACATCCATCATATGGCATCACATCTCTCTTATGACGTCACATCCATCATATGACATCACACCCTTCCGGACACATCACACCTGCCCGTGACATCACATCCTTCCTGTGACATCACGTCCCCTATGACATCACAGCCATCATATGACATCACATCTCCCCTATGACAGCACACCTACCTTGTGACATCACATCCCTCCTGTGATGTGATGTTCCCCTAAGAGGAGATATGATATCAATCATATTCTGGGATAATGCAGGACCACATGAAATCAAAGGAATTCTGGGACACTCCCGAACCTCCTGGAACCAAGGGAGCCCTGAGATATTTCTGAACCTCCCAGAATCCAGGGGCCATTGGGACCCTGCAGAACCACCTGCATTCAAGTGCTCCTTGTGAAACTGCAGGCTCTCCTGGAACCCAAGGATTCCTGGAACACTGCAGAGCTCACGGAACCAAGGGGCCACTGTCCCACTGCAGCTCCTTCTGAAGCACAAGGGACCCTGGGACAGTGGGAAATCTCCGAGAATCCAAAGGGCATTTTGGAACTGCAGGGCCTCATGGAACTAAAGGAACCTTTGGAGACTGTGGAAGCTCATGGAATCAAGGGGCCATTGGGACATGTGGGGCCTCCTGGAAGCAAAGGAACCCTGATAATTTCTGTGGGAACAAGTTAAGGCAGCAGCAGCTGCATTCAGTTAATCAGAATCCAAAAGGAGTGCTTTGGCCTTGACTGGTGTTTTCCATCCAGAGAGTGCTGTTTGCCAAAGTGGAAACCACTTGGAACGCTCTGCATGGCAGCCTGTGTTTCTCTCTGGTGGCTGAACACAGCCAGCACATGAGGGGAGGGGAATGTGTGGGATCAGGGCACTGCTTTTGGGCCATGTTGGGAATTCCAGTGGACTAAAAGACAAAGCCCAGGCGCTGTTTCCAAAGGAACCCCAATGAAAGGGGGACGCCGGAAAGACGGGAGGACAAGTCCTGAAATGGAACTCTGTGTGTGCAGCCTCATTTTCTCCTTCAGCAATCACAGGAGAGGGGGCAAAAAGTGGGGGTTGGGACCCCTAAACTGTTTGGGGGGAAAATTGGAGATTGAGGGGACAATGGGAAAGTGGGAGGAACAGGGAGAAGGGTGGAAAAGGGGGGGTGCTCTGGTGGGTCCAATGGTCCCATGGGGGTCTCTGGGCTCAAGGCGGCTGGTAAAGGGGAGTGGCCCCCCTGAGCTCCCAACTTCCTGTGGGGTGCTGGGGGCTCCTGGATCCAATCTCAGCCTTGGGTTATGCCAAAACTTTCATTTTAAAGGAATTACAGAGATGTGACTGAACCACTTCTGTCCCCCAGGTTTAATGATGGCAAATCAGATCTATTGATAGAAAGGAATTACTTAGGGATAGAAATGATGAGACAGAAGATCTTCATCAGAATTATTTACTGCACAACAGAAACACTAAAACTACCAGGAGTACAGGATAAGAGAGGACAGTTGTTGAAGCAATTCTACTCAAGGTAGCACAAAAGCAATAATTCTTAATTAGAGATGGATGGAACTCCTCCAGACCAACGCTTGGGGGGAGATCTCAGCTCTCAACCTCCAGGACTGACCTTGGGGGGTCCCCAGCCAAGGTAGGAATCTCCACACACCCCTCCAAGAAGGGTTCTGTTGGAATAACCTGCCCCTGTGAAAGGGGACTGGCCCATTCTGGTCAAAAGGGATGGACTGACAGTCACTGGACTCCAGGGGTTGCCTCACCATCATGGGCTTCATTTGGGGTGGAACCAGCAGCTGAAGCTTCTCCCACAGTCGGGGCACTGGTAGGGCTTCCCTTACCGGTGGGTCTGTTGGTGTCTGGTCAACTTAGAGCTCTGGGTGAAGCTCTTCCCACACTCCCCACACATGTACGGCCTCTCACCGGTGTGGATGCGTCGGTGCACGACAAGGTGGGAGTGCTGGTTGAAGCCCTTCCCGCAGTCGGTGCAGCAGAAGGGCCTCTCATCCGTGTGTGTCCGCTCATGCCTGAGGAGATCTGAGCTGGTCCGAAACGTCTTCCCACATTCCCCACAGGTGTAGGGCCGTTCCCTGGCGTGGATGCGCTTGTGTCGGATCAGGTGGGAGCTGTCATTGAAGCTCTTCCCACATTCCTTACACGGGTAGGGTCGTTCACCAGTGTGGATGCGCTGGTGCAGCATCAGAGTGGAGTTGTCCCTGAAGCTCTTCCCGCATTCCCCACACATGTGGGGCCTCTCACCAGTGTGGATGCGGTGGTGTCGGATCAGGTTGGAGTTGTCATTGAAGCTCTGCCCACATTCCCCACACGTGTAGGGCCGTTCCCCAGTGTGGATGTGCTGGTGGATGAGGAGGTGGCTGCTCTGCCTGAAGCTCTTCCCACATTCCAAGCACCTGAAGGGTTTCTCTCTGCTGGGAGGCTGCTCAGGGACCACCAGCTCAGAGCTCCCCCTCAAGCTCCGGTCGCCTTCCCGGCACAGGCTGGCTCTTTCCTCCTCAGAGCACCCTGGGATGGCTTTGGAGCCCCTCCTGCGGGGGGATCTCCGGCCCTTTTCCTCCCCGCTGCCTTCCTGCGCCGGGGAGCCCTTCAAAACGGCCTCTCCCACCAGGGTCTCACGGGGGGATTTGTCCTCCGGGCTCTCCGTCCTCACCTCGGGGCCTGGGGCAGGAAGCAAGAAGGACAGGCAGGGGATTTGCCTCCGGCCCACAGGGAAGGCCAAGGACATCCCCCCAACTCCGGCCCCGGCAGGACGGCGGCGCCAGCGGGGTTGTCCTGCAGCCGGGGCCATGCTCGGCTGACAGAGCCAGCACAACACCCGCCCAAAGGGACACTGACTTCCTCCTCACCTGCCTGGGGGGACCAAGGCATCTTCCTCTTCCTCGCAGCCTCCTCCTCCATCCGACCAAGCTTTGGGAAGGACAAATCCTGATGGGGGGAAAACAAGGGCTGAGCGCGTTGGCTTGGGGGTTGGTTCCTCCTGCCCAAGTCCATCTCTGGAACTCACCGGGCATCCTGTGTCCATAAAAACTTCCAAAACACCAAGATCCAGCTCAGAAAAACCAAACCACTGACATTCAGGCAAAAAACTTTCAGAAATAGCAAGAAGACCCTTAGTCCCTCAAACTGCAAAAAGTTGAAATTCAGCTAAAAATACTCCAAAATATGAAGATTCAGCCCAAAAAAATTCTCCCAGGAGTTCCCCCTCTCTGGTCTCTCCCCTCTGGGGTTCAGAGGGTCTCTCCTGTCTGGGATGCTGGGGGTCCCACTTAGAGATGCTGGGAGTGTTGGGGGACAGTAATCCAAGGCCTGATTACTCTGTTAGAAAAAAATTGCTTCCACGCCTTCAGGGTGCCACGTTCCCAGACATTCCCCCTCTCCAGGTTCTCCACTCTGTTGTCCCGGGGATCCCAGAGGTTCCCTCTGTCCAGGCTTCCCCTTCTCCACTCCCCCGCTTCAGGCTCCTGGGTCGCTTCTCTCACCCCTTTCCCATCGTGGTCGCTCCGCTCACCGGACAGCGGCAGGAAGGGCAGGGACAGGGGTGGAGCAACAACAGTAGGAAAACAAGCGCCTCCCCCCTCATCCTGCAGGTGCCTGGGAAGGGGGAACTCGTCCCAAATATCCTGGGGGGAGTGTAGGGGGTTGTGACATACTGGGGCTGCCAGCACAGATTTCCCTGCAAAGTCTGCAGTGAGTCAAGCTCTGCAGAGGAGATTGTGCCCCATGCATGGGATTGCAGAGGCTCCCTCAGGTCCCCAGCAGGAATCAGCAACCAGGAATAGACACAAAAAAGCCCCCCAAAGAGTTCTGGGGGAGTGTCCTGTAGGGAGGGGACAGTGTCACCCCACCAGGGCAGGGCTGGCAAGTGGGAGGCTGCTCCAGGGCTCTGCAAGAGGCCTCGTGCTCTGCTCGGCCCCAGCACTGGCTGGTACCAACACCCCCGGCTGCCCCCGGCCCTGGGCAGCTCTGCTGCCACAGGCTGTGCCCTCACCGTGGCCCTGCAATGGCCCTGCCTGTCCCTCACCCGGGGCCCTGCCCGTGGCCCTGTCCCTTGGCTCTCTCTCTGCCAGCTCAGTGTGGGGCACACGGGCTGGGGGTCCCTCCCAAGCCCCCCGGGCAGCCGGCGTTGGCTGGGGGGATGTGAGGGCTGGGCCTGCTCAGCACAGCCCCGGCCTCGTGCCCAGCGCCTCTTTCCTGACCCACACAAGAGCTTCCCGGCCCCCCCAGGGCTCCCCTGCTGCTGCCTCTGCTCCTGGCCCTGCCTTTGCTGCTCCCTTGCCTGGGGCAGCGGCTGCAGGGGGGGATGGCAGCAGCTTCAGCTCCACGGCACTTCCTGGGGGGAGCTCAGCCGGGGGGGACGGGCAGGGACCTGATGGGGATGGACAGGGGCCCAGCAGGGACAGCCAGGGCCTGCAGGGGAAGGCACAGGGACAACCTGGACCCCCACACTGCCACTGCTGTCTCTGCTCCTCCTTGCAGGCTCCGTGGCCAGGCACAGTTGGTGTTCCTGGGTGCCCACCATCTCAGCACTTGGAGACGCTCAAATCAGCGCCCGCAGCTCTGCAGCAAAGCCCCAGCTCACCTGGCACACAGGGGATGGACACAGCACCTGCTCGGGGATGGGCATTCACAGCTTTGTCTTCTTCCCCACCACAGGGCTCTCCTTCCTCAGCAGCACCTCTGCCTTGCACTTATTCTCAGCCTCACCTCAGGGACAGCTCTGGGCTCACCTCCGCGCCACTTCTCAGCCTCACCTCAGGGCCTGGGCTCAAGGACAGGAACCTGCAGGGAGGGGACATCAGGTGCAAGCTCAGGGCTGCCTGCTTGCACTGGCCTCTGGGCTTCTTTCTCCTTCTACAACCAGCCCAGAACTCAGCCTGCTTTTCTAACACCACACATTTACAGACTAACCTTGGAGATAGATATGGACAGACATCTCTATCACCCTGGGGATAGAGCCTCAAGCATGTGCTGCCATAGGAATGGCAATCACAGAATCACAGAATCAGCCACGTTGGAAAAGACCTCCGAGATCATCAAGTCCAACCCTGGATCCAACCCCGCTGTGCTTCCCAGACCATGGCACTGAGGCCACATCCACTCTCACCTTCAACACCTCCAGGGACGCTGACTCCACCCCCTCCCTGCCCAGCCCATTCCAAGGCCTGATTGCTCTCTTGGGAAAAAATTGCTTCCTAATATCCAACCTAAACCTCCCCTGGCACAGCTCAAGACCCAGCCCTCTTGTCCTACTGCTGCTTCCTGGCAGAACAGCCCCACCCCCACCTGGCTCCAACCTCCTGGCAGGGACTTGCAGAGAGTGATGATTCCTGCTGGGGACCTGAGGGAGCCTCTGCAATCCCATCCATGGGGCACAATCTCCTCTCCAGAGCTTGACTCACTGCAGACTTTGCAGGGAAATCTCTGCTCCCAGCTGCATCCTGAGCCCAAGGTCAGTTTGTATCCACAAGTGCTGATCCAATGGGTGCCCTGGGATTGGAGCCTGGGCTCTAATTAACCTCTCCTGTGCTGCCAAACAACAGGAGCTGTATGGCCAAGGGACAAGCTCTGTGATCCCTGTCAGTGTCCATGGCCCCTGTCAGTGTCCTTCAGGTAAACTGGGAGGAGGAAATGAAGAATTTGGTTTGGAACCAAACTGGTGTTAAAGTGGGAAAAAGCTCCTTCCATGGAAATAAAACTTAGACAGATTTTCCTGGGCTGAACAAGCTCATTCAGAGATGAAGGACTGGGACTTCTGTGGACACTTGTGCTGGTTTCTTTGGACACTCGTGTTCCTTCAGAGAGCCCCTGGAAACACTCTGCTGTTCACTCCCAGTGCCACCAGTGCCTGGGTCCTGTCTGCAGCAGCAGATTGCAGTGGGACTGGAGAAATGCTTTTCTGAGCCTCTGGGCTGGACACAGGCACAGCCTGACCCTGAACCCAAGGGAAACAAAGACAGATTCCATGGCTTTAGCTGGACCAAGGCTGGGGGGGTTTCCTGAGGGCAGCACTAACAAGACTGTTTTGTGTGTGTGTGAGACAGGCAGAACCACAAATGCCTGCACAGCCCAGAGCAGTCAGTGTGGGGCTGTGCTTGCTGCTGCAGAGACCCCCAGGGAACAAACCCAGGCAATAGTTTGGGTTTATTCCTTGCTCTGTGTCAGTGGAATAGAATGTTCCACAGGAGCTCTGTCCCCCTCTGTGGCACCGGGTGGTTTGAAGCTGAAGAGAGAGGGGGGTCAAGTGCAAGGTCCCTTCTGAAGTGTGTGTCCCTAAGGAGGAGGACACTTGTTCTATTACTTCTTATTATTTGTAACATCTTACAGATACATCATACAATACCTAAGGATGGATTCTATAGAATACGTGCCATAGATATGATACAGAATATATCTGATTATTGCTTTATCTGTCTGTCCAGACAGATTTTGTGTATGCACAGAGATTGTATTTGAGGGATATGTTCCTCTCAATACTCTGTGAGCTCCACTCCCAAGGCCAGCAAATTCCTGAAGCTCCCCCTTCTGTGCCCTGCAGGTTTTGGCAGATTTGCAAGAGCAGGGGAATCATTCCCTGCAGCCCCTTTGCACTGTAGGAAATGGGAGCCCTGTGCACATCCTGCTGCCTCCAGATTCCATTCTGGGTGTGGGAAGGACCCTGTGGGGAGCAAAGAAATGCCTGGTTCTGCAGGAGCTGCAGATGCTCAAGGGGCAGCAGGACCAAGTCAGGGGCCTGGGGGGGCCTGGGGGGCTTTGGGGAGCGGGAGGGTCCTGGGGGAGCTGGGGAGGGGCTTTGGGGATTGGGAGTACAAACCAGGACAGACCAGTACAGACCAGGACAGACCAGTACCTCCTCACTGCTCCCCAGATCTCTCCTGGAGCTGGGCCACGTTGTCCTGGGACACCTGAGCCCCCTCCAGTGCCCTCCCAGTACAGCCCAGTGCCCCCAGTACAGCCCACTGTGTTCCTGTCCCAGGGTGCCGGGTGATCCCTCTTTGGGGGGAGTTGGAAAAGATTTGAGGGGGGGCTGTGGGAGATTTGGGGGGATCTGAGGAGTTTGGATGGGGATTTGGGGGTTTTGAGTGCCTTTAGGGAAGTTAAAAGAGGTCTTGGGGACATTGGGGGGTCAGAGGTACCTATGGGGGGAGGGGATTAAAGGGAAAATGGAGGTTAGGAGACATTTGGGAGGGGTTAATGAGGCCTGGGCGGGCAGAGGAGGGGCTGCACCAAGAGCAGGTGAGTCCTGAGACCCCCCCCTGGTTTCCCCAAGACCCTCTTGGTGTCCCCAGTTCCCCCCTTAACACCCCGAGACCCCCCTGGTGTCTCCAATGTCCCCACGGCCTCCCCATGGCCCCAACTCCCCCCTTGACACCCCCAATTCAACTGTCCCCAAACTTAACCCCACTGTCCTCAAACCCCATCCCTGATGTCCCCAACGCT